ACCATCTCGTCAGAGATTGACCACACGCAGACTCGTGAGAAACAGACTTCGAGGGCTGATACCCAGTACGACCGCCGATTGAACGACGACGATGGCCTCGAATCCTCCTTCCTTGGCGGCGACGGTATGCTGGTTCGCGCCGATCGTACCACCAACACCAAGCTTATTCTCGTCGCCGAATACCCCATATTTGGAGTCGTGGCAGGCCTTGCGAGAATCAAAATTCAAAATTCCAAGTCTGGAGGCGAGGCTCTTTTGATTGCTACAAGAGTGGCACGTTTGAGTCTGGTGCAATGGGATCCCGAGAAACACGCACTCGAGGACGTCTCCATCCACTTCTACGAAAAAGAAGAGCTCGAGGGCTCGCCATTCGATGGCCCGTTGAGCAATCACCCAACTCATCTTGCTGCTGATCCAGGCTCCCGATGTGCCGCTCTCCGATTTGGCTCCAGATACATCGCGTTCCTACCCTTCAAACTAAACGATGAGGACATAGATATGGATGACTGGGATGAGGATGTGGATGGACCTCGGCCGGCAAAAGAGCCGTCAGCAACTGCAGCTACAAATGGAACTAGCAACTTAGCAGATGTACCATACTCAACGTCATACGTCCTCCCTCTCCCGCAGCTTGATCCCAGTCTCCTCCATCCTGTGCACCTCGCCTTCCTGCATGAGTACAGAGAGCCGACCTTCGGTATCATCTCTTCGATGCAGCGCCGCTCCAACACTCTACCTCGGAAAGACCACTTCTCCTATAAGGTCTTTACCCTCGATCTGCAACAAAGGGCATCCACGGCTATTCTTTCCGTCAACAACTTGCCGCAGGACCTCTTCCAAGTCATTGCCCTTCCAGGCCCTATTGGAGGAGCTCTTCTCGTCGGTACCAACGAGCTGATCCACATTGACCAGTCTGGCAAGCCCAATGGTGTGGCTGTCAATGCGTTCACCAAGGAGACGACCAGCTTTCCTCTGGCCGATCAGTCGGAATTGGATCTGCGGCTCGAGCACTGCTACATTGAGCAAATGTCTCCTGAGAATGGAGAGCTGCTCATGGTGCTCAGAGATGGTCGTTTGGCCATCATCGCTTTCAAAATCGATGGACGTACCGTTTCCGGACTCAGTGTCAGGATAGTACCCGCGGAGGCTGGAGGCAACGTTGTGCAGTGCGGTGCCTCTTCGATTTCAAGGCTGAGCAAGAACGCGTTCTTCATAGGCAGTACTGGTAGCGATTCCCTCGTTGTGGGTGTCACCCGGAAACAGACACAAAACGCGCGGAAGAAAACGCGTTTGGTTGACGACTCTTTCGCGGACGACCTCGAGGATGAGGATATCGACGATGACGACGATGATGATCTTTACGGCGAAACCACAACGACAGTTCAGTCGAGCACAGCCGCCAATGGCGTGCCCAAAGGAGGAGAGATATCATTCCGTGTTCACGACTCTCTCCTGAGTTTAGCTCCGGTCAAGGATATGACGACGGGCAAGCAAGCCTTCATCCCGGAGAGCGAGGATGAGAAGAACTCGGTCGGCGTCGTAGCTGATTTGCAACTTGCGGCTGCCGTTGGCAAGGGCAATGCAGCCGCCATCGCCATCATGAACCAGAACATTCAACCAAAGGTCATTGGCAAGTTTGAGTTCCCAGAGGCGAGGGGATTCTGGACCATGTGCGTTCAAAAGCCGATTCCAAAATCACTGCAGGGCGATAAGGGCGCAAATGCGGCTGTGGGCAGCGAATTCGATGCTTCATCTATATACGACAAGTTTATGATAGTTTCCAAGGTTGATCTAGACGGTTACGAAACATCAGATGTTTATGCTCTTACAGGCGCTGGCTTTGAGGCTTTCACGGGGACAGAGTTTGATCCTGCGGCAGGTTTTACGGTGGAGGCGGGCACGATGGGGAAACACATGCGTATCATTCAGGTTCTCAAGTCTGAGGTGCGATGCTACGATGGAGGTAAGTTATCGGCACTTATAACTGTAGTTCAACGCTGACGAACAAACCAGATCTCGGCTTAAGTCAAATCTTGCCGATGCTTGATGAGGAGACGGGAGCTGAACCACGAGTCGTCAGTGCCAGCATCGCGGACCCCTATCTCCTGCTGGTACGAGATGATGCGAGCATAATGGTTGCTCAAATTGATAATAACAACGAACTCGAAGAGATGGAAAAGCAAGACGACACTATCTTATCAACACAATGGCTTGCCGGGTGTTTGTACACCGACACCACAGGTGTGTTTGCTCCAATTCAAACCGACAAGGGTACGCCAGAGAGCCAAAGCATTTTCATGTTCCTGCTCAGCGCTGTGGGAGCTTTATATGTAAGTCCGCCCCATAACATTCGATTTCAACTTCTAACAAAACCAGATATACGCCCTCCCCGACCTCTCAAAACCAGTCTATGTTGCTGCTGGAATGACCTACGTTCCCCCGTTTCTATCTGCGGACTACGCCGTTCGTCGAGGCACAGTTCAAGAGACATTGACGGAAGTTCTCGTGGCCAAATTGGGCGATGCCACGGAGTCTTCGCCATATCTTATTGTGAGTTCTGTTCGATGAAAGATTTAATGCGTATCATTCTGACTCAGTTGACAGCTTCGACATGCAAACGACGACATTACTATATATGAACCCATCCGCCTCGAGTCACAAGACAATTCCGAGGGCCTCGCAAAGACACTCCACTTTCAAAAGATCACAAATCCGGCTCTGGCCAAGAGCCCAGTTGAAGTAGCGGATGACGATGCCAATGAGCAACCTCGTTTCGTTCCTCTTCGACCGTGCGCCAACATCAATGGCTACAGCACCGTCTTCCTTCCTGGTGCCTCGCCATCCTTCATCATAAAATCTGCCAAAAGCGCACCCAAGGTGTTGGGTCTGCAGGGCATCGGCGTTCGTGGCATGAGTTCCTTCCATACCGAAGGCTGCGAGCGCGGTTTCATTTACGCCGATTCAGAGGGGCACACGCGCGTCACGCAGCTGCCCGCCGACACCAGTTTCGAGCTAGGAGTTTCCATCCGCAAGATTCCAGTTGGAGATGCTATCGGCCTCATCGCCTACCATCCTCCCATGGAGACGTACGCCGTTGCCTGCAGTGTATCGGAGCCGTTCGAGCTCCCCAAGGACGACGACTACCACAAGGAATGGGCCAAGGAGACCATCACCACGTTCCCGCAGATGGAGCGCGGTATCATCAAGCTCCTCAGTCCCGCCACATGGTCCGTCATTGACACTGTCGAGCTCGATCCCCACGAGGTTGCCATGTGTATGAAGACGCTCCACCTCGAAGTGTCCGAGGAGACTAAGGAACGCCGCATGCTTATTGCCATCGGCACGGCTATCAACCGTGGCGAGGACCTACCCATCCGCGGCCGCATCCTCGTGTACGATGTCGTGCCCGTTGTGCCCCAACCTGGACGCCCAGAGACGAACAAGAAACTCAAGCTGGTCGCCAAAGAGGAGATTCCCCGCGGCGCCGTCACCGCCCTTTGCGAGGTTGGATCGCAAGGCCTGATGCTCGTCGCGCAGGGGCAGAAGTGCATGGTCCGTGGCCTGAAGGAAGACGGCACCCTCCTGCCTGTCGCATTCATGGACATGAGCTGCTACGTCACCTCCGTACGCGAGGTGCGAGGCACCGGCTACTGTCTCATGGCTGATGCCTTCAAGGGTGTCTGGTTCGTCGGCTACGCAGAAGAGCCTTACAAGATGATGCTCTTCGGAAAAAGCACTGGCAAGTTTGAGGTCTTGACAGCGGACTTTTTGGTCGATGGAGACGAGCTGCACATCGTCGTCTGCGACAAGGACGGCGTCATTCACGTCATGCAATTTGACCCTGAGCGTAAGTCTCCCCCGTAACCCCGACTGCTTGGCAACTCACTAACCGTTTACAGACCCGAAGTCTCTCCAAGGCCACTTGCTGCTCAACCGTGCCTCCTTCTCGGCTGCGCCGAACCACCCTACCGCAACCCTCTCACTGCCCAGAACAACCACCACCGCACAATCAGCATCTGCGTCCAAGAACCCACCATCAACGCTCATGCTGGCTTCTCCTACGGGTGTTCTTGCGGCCCTGACTCCGCTATCAGAGCAGGCTTACCGACGCCTGACATCCCTGTCCAACAGCATCGCCGCAGCGCTCCCCCACGCAGCAGCCACGAACCCAAAGGCGCACCGGCTCCCGCCCTTAGACGCGCGCCCGCCGGGCGTCGACACAAGCGCCGGACGCACCATCGTCGACGGCGCGCTCCTGTCCCGCTGGAACGAGCTCGGCGCAGGACGCAGGTCGGAAGTCGCCGGCAAGGGCGGCTACGGTAACGTGTTGGAGGTCCGGGGCGAGCTGGAAGGGATCCTCGGATGGAACGGATTGGCCTACTTCTGAGGCAGTTGCTAAATAGGAGGATTATCGCGTTTGGGGCTGAGTATCTTTTGGAAGTTGGGCCTTTTGGAACAAGGCCTTGGTGCAGCAATTGCGAAGAAGCGTTTTCAAGAGGCAAAAGTTAGATCGACGACACTTTTGGTAATAGATTATCCGCAAACCAAGTACATTCACAATGTGGCTTTTACTTGCGTCATGTGCTGTGATACGGTCAAATCACGGATTGTGCGCTGCCGATTAAAGTTATTGAGTAACATTACCGTGACTAGAAATCTAACCCCATACTGAGGTGCCTATGTTTGTCCTAATCTATTCTTCGTAATGCCTTTCTAGGCAATCGTAACTCAAGCTCGTCGTTGGCCCTAAGGCGTTCAAATTCATTTTCGCTCAAAGCAACACAACGCTCTTCTCTCATGGTTGACCTCACCAACCGCAAAGCCAGTCCCTCTGCCCATACCTTAATAGTGTTCCTTGTATCGTACACTCTCATACCTTTTGGTAGTTACTAAACATTCCGAGAAGCGCAACCGAATAGGCGCGACTGAGACATTGCGTCATGGCGACGTGGTATTACATGAGAAATAGGCCCAAGACTAAAATAACCTGGGTGTAATATCTAGGCTGCAGCTTGATGTTTTCGACGAATACTTCCGAAGCGGCGCTTCAGACCGTCACTAAGACGCTTGCCAGTGCTGTTGTGACGGCGCACATCTGCGCTGTTTGACTGTCCGGCGGGCGTCTCTGATGGGCCGGGCCTCCCGTCGGCGGCATTGCTCACGCTACGCTGACGAACCGTGGCACCGAGATTCTTTCGTGACTGGCTGTTGGCACCGGGATGCATCTCGTACTCAACAGGGCCGTTGCCGAGGGACGCCTTGCGCATGCGCTTCTTCTCCTTAAGATCTCTTTCGTAGGTGTACGAAGGCTCGCCCTTTCCTTTGAGATCATCAGGATGGTACGGCTATTCTTAGTCAGACACTGCAGATGACGTCAAAATTGGAACAGCAGACTTACGATTCCGTCCCATCGTTTGTAAGCACCGCCTTGCGCGTCAGGCTCGCGCATGAGGTCCGCTCCCTCCTCATAGTTCATAACGTTGCCGCGCATGTCGCTGCTGCCGACGGGGACGGTGCCGGTTCCTTGAAGAGGAACATGCTTGGTAAGGGAGTCTTGGATGTATTCACGGGGAGTTGCTCTCAAAGCCTCCTCGTTGGATTCCTTGACGGCCTCAACTGGGGCGTACTGCTTGTTGCGGTTGCGGGACGCCAAAGTGGCGTCATACGGGCCGCCATGGTGGTAGACACCACCTATGGTGTCGAGCCCGTCAATGGTGTCGGTCATAGCACCGTTCTTGCGAGTGCGAAGGTGAGGAGCGCGGTCTGCTGCGCGATGCTCCTTCTTGAGCATGTCCAGAGGTCGGTGAGACATATCGCCGTTGTACCTTTGGTTCAATGAACCGGAGCGACGGAGACCGCTAGGGACGTTGTGATGGTTTACGCTTTTGCTGCGCTGGACAGACGGGTCGGCACGACCTTCTTCCTCGTTGATAGGCCGGTTGCGCGCGCTGAAGCTCCGTGTGACGCTAGTGCTCGGAGGCAGACTGTTGCGAACACTGGTGCTGCGACCTAGAGGCCTGTGAGGAGCAGAGGACGAAGCAGGTGAACCGGGTTCTCTGGGCGAGGGCAGTGATGCGCGGTTGTTGTAAGTGGGTGAGAACGGGTTCGAAGAGTGAAAGCTGGAGCGTGTTGGGCTCGCGGAAGTAGGCGGGGTTGGATACGACGAAGCCTGGCTGTGGCTCCTATGACTTCTCTGGCTCTTATCGCTCGGCTGGACCGGGTCTTTCCCTTTCTTTCTCTGTGAGAAAGTACGAAGCAATGGATCGGGATTGATGAATGAGCTTCCAGGTCCGGTTTCCTGGCTAGGTTCAGGTGCAGTGAGTGGATCAAGCAAGTAAGCCTTTGCCTAAGAAGAATAATGTTAATTGAATGTGAGTTGAGAATATGGACGCAAGAAGGCGACTGGACACGAGGAGTTTTAGATAAGAAGTCGAACGACAAGCAAGGACGCGCATGTGTAAGTGGAGGGACCCGTATTATTTACGTCGTCCAGGGCTTAGCTGCAGTCTGGATGATGCCAGCCAGCTTGTCGAGGTCCTTGGAAATCCGATGGCTTGGATGAACAGTGACGCAAGAAGGGACTTCCAGCCGCCTAAGCTTGGGTGGCTGAACCGTGCAGTGCAGGGGACCCGTCCGTACCTTGCTTCCCGACTCACTTGGGTTGGCGGGGGTAGCTTGGGTAGACTTGGGGCTTAGAATAGCAGGCAAGCTTGGGCCCGGGCAGAGGAACCGGTCGGGCGTTCTGGCCGCGAGCGCGGTAGGAGAGAGGAGACGGGACGATCGGCTTCGACCACGTTGAGTGAGTGAGTCCTTGGGCTTCGAACTTGCTGGGGGCGGCAGCAGTGACGGAATGTTGGAGTCGTAGACGGGCGAGACGGAAGATGACAAGACGGCGGATGCGACGGTGACGGGTTGAAAAGAGTGGGGACAACGAGGGAATGGCAGATGAGAACGTGAGCGATGACGATGATAGGGCCGACCGTAAGGCCCAGGCCTAGCCAGCCATAGTGAACCGCAAGGGGAGATGAATGTTCGTCGAGATAATAGTACGACAAATGATGATGGATGGGGGCTGTGTTTCGTTCCAATGCCTGTAAATAAAAAACCGACCATGGACTTACCCACTGCTTGTTGCTGCCCGAGTCGTCCATATTGTTTTTGGTGTAATTGCTGTGGCTGTGTCTTTGGTTATGGTTCTCGAGGGTCGTCGGGTGTTGGCGCAACACGCAGCATAGCACAGCAAAGCGAAGCGAAGCGATGCAATGCAGCAGAATGACAAGACGAGAGATGAGAGGACGCAAAAACCGGGGACAGAAATGCAGGTGTGAGAGCCCTTTTGAACGGCAATGCAGTAGTAGAGGTGTTCTTCACCTTCAGCGTCGTCCGCTGTTCCGTTTGGTGGGATGAGTGAGGTGCACACCCGGGGGCGAGAAGGGTGACGGACGAGGACAAGGACGACAGAGTCATGAGGGTGTGGACGTGATGCCGACGACAGGCACAGTCAGTCCAGGCCCTTCAGACCAGGCGATCCCAGTCCTTCTCAGGCAAGTGTGAGGTGCGCCAGCGTGCGAATGCAGCGTGGCCTGCACCTTCTTCATCGCGGTGCTGGGCTGCTAGGAACATGCCCGGACGGGAAGTGACCATCATGGGACCTGCGCTGGCCGGGTCGCCCGAGCTTGCCATTGGTGAGAAGTTTTGTGGTGTTCTTTTGGTTCTTTCTTTGGCAGGGAGGGGGAGGGGAAAGGGAAGGGAAGGAGGAGGGGTGGGCATGTGCGAAGGGACCGGATGATGTGGGTGGGAAGGCGGGGACGGTGTAAGGCGATGTGAAGTAGGTGCCATCTGGCGGTTGCTGCTCATGGTCTTTACTTACGGCGTAGCCGCAATTATTGGACGAAAACCCGTCACCTTCTGTTTGGAAAGAAGCTGCATATTCATGCTTCTCCCAATTCCTAAATGCAATGCTTGTGATTCTATCCTCACCTCCTCAAAACCACCGTCGTCCAAATCTTCTCTCCATATATCCCCTCCGCCGTCCAGAGTCAGGGTCCAAGGCGCCCCGGCCCCGATCCGCACACGAGACATGTCTCCTCGCCCATCACGTTACCACTTTCCCCTCAGCGGCTCCGCTGGCAGAGACACCTAACTTAGATCCACCCGGCAGGGCAAGACCAAAGCCACGGCATCCTCGGCGGCCCAGGGACCAAAGGAAACAATGAGAAACGAAACATTTCAACCGCTAGGCCACCTTAGCTCAGCCACCAGCACGCCGTCAGCGGGACACGCGGGCCTTTAGAACCTCGTCCGTCGCTCGTGTCTGTTCTTCCCACCGTCCTCGCATTGGCTCCCAATTCCTACGTCATGCGATCAGCAAAACTTTAAAAAATCCCATTTTAGCCAGGGGACCAGCAGCCACGACGCGCCGCAACATCCCATTTACCAGACCACCTCTCCCATGCAGCAACCGTTACAGAGCTGATACGACGAGCAAATTAGCAGACCACTCATAAGTGCCGCTATTGATTCCAATGCGCGTCTGGGTGAAAAGGGAAGAAGGAAAAACATGCAATGGGTCACCCGGCCTCTTACCGAGCTTCCGAGTGGCCCTTCCGGGGCGCCAACGGGGCACGCCGCAAGTCCCCGGTCCACATCTCACTGCCCCTCAAGTCAGGGCCATGCTTGCTCCGATACCTGGCGGAACACGTCGCCCGACCAGGACTGGCCACTCGCTGTCAACGACTGAGAGCCATAAGCTTAAAATTATACCCCGTCGGTGTTTTCATGCTGGTTATGAGCAAAGATGAGCAATGCTGCCCTCATTTGCAAGCTGCCCTCATTTGCAAGCTGCCCTCATTTGCGCCGCCTTATGCCGAGACTAGCCCGTTCTTACTCACGCTCCACGCTCAGTCAAGCTCACGATGCTGCTGAGAGTCTAGAATCTTAGTAGATGCCGCCCACAAGAAGCTTGGACAAGGCAGCTCCGTAAAAGGTTTGTTGCTGATTGTAATTGCGTGCGCGCCTCATTCAGCGTGCATGGGGAGCTTAGACCTAACCTTGCGTATGACGTACCGGGATCGAGATCTGGCTGAAAAGCTTCGCTCGCGTTTCGCAAGGTGTCAACTGCCTTGGGCTTTTCTTACCACCGCCTTTTTGTGTGTACGACTGACAGGTTCCACCACCTTGTCTCTTTGCTATGGCGCTTTGATACGTCCACGTGCCTCACATCTCTCAACTGCCACTGCGCGCTTCTAGGCGACCTCGCAGAACCCCTCAGGCGCAGCAAAAAGCAAATGCATCACGCTCTCGCCTGTTGCTCATTGGCCGGCCAGCTTCCGTCGCGTCCCGCAGACCCAACCGGGTCTTTCGCTCCGGGATCCCCAATCTGAGACCGAGGCCCCTAGCTCCCCGCCGCCGGGCTATGGCTCTCGTTGACTACTCGTCCTCCGACTCGGCGTCTGAGCCGGGCTCACCCCCGCCCAAACGCCGCAAGGCCGCCGACGGTGGCCCGGAAGGTGCCGTCGCCAGCAAACACAACAATATCACCGGTGCTTCTTCATCCGCGAGTCAACCGGACGGCAACTCCGCACTGCCTCCGCTCCCGGAGGAATTCCACGACTTGTATGCCTCCACCGTACGAACCAGCACCGCCGATGATCCCACTCTCCATCAGGGTCGGAAGCGTGCCATTCCGCACATCGTCGGCCACTGGCCTTCTCACGTCTACATTGAATGTAAGACACACACACTCTCTCTCTCTTTCTTTTTCCATCTCCATTTCGTCTCTCGAGCTTACAAATTTCTCCAGGGCATCCAACAGCATCCCAGCACGCGCTGCTCACAAACCTCCTAGCCAAGATCGCGCCCCTTCTAAAGTCTCAAAAGCTGCAACCTCTACTAACCTCAGACCTCAACGCCCCGCTCCCCCTCCACGTCTCCCTCACACGCCCTCTCTCCCTGACCACAGCCGAGAAAGACGACTTCCTCTCCGCCCTCACCTCGTCCCTCTCCCACGCCACAGGGCCCTTCACCCTCTCCCCGCGCGGGATAGGCTTCTTCAAATCCCCGGACTCGGACCGCGCCTTCCTGATCCTCCGTGTCGCCGACCCCCGCGCCTCCTCGCGAGATAACAACAACACCACCGGCAAGAACCCGCAGCTCCGCACCCTGCTGACAAAGTGCAACGCCGTCGCCCTCCGCTTCGGCCAGCAGCCGCTGTACCAGGCCCGCGCGACCGAGCTCGTCGACGACGCCTTCCACGTGAGCATCGGCTGGACGTTTGGCTTGCCGGCAGAGGACGCGTGTCTGGAGACGTACGGGATGCTGCGGCTTCCGGAGTTTGCAGAGGTGAGGAAGTGGGAGATTCCCGTCTTGGGCGTCAAGGTCAAGATCGGGAACGTGGTGACGCATGTCCTACTGCGGGATGCGCAGAAGAGGGATGGCGAGGAGGACAGTCTGTTTGGATGAGGGTCCAGTGAAGCAAGAGTAGAGGTATTGGTATCAATATTGTATATACAGCCTGGTCACGATACCAGTACAGTATGCCCTTGATCTTTCCGGGAAAGGGAGATGAAGGAGGGAAAAGAAAGACAGAAACGCCAATAGCGCCGCCCGGCCATGCACTAAGTAGATGCCATGCTAGGATGTGAAAGATAAAGATGTCTATCTACAACTCGTCCAGCGGCCGCCTCTGGAAGCTCCAGTTCCTCTCGATAACGGGAAGGCCAACGAAGCCTTGGTACAGACGCGCCAGCTCTACTGCGAGAATGTTGAAACTACAACCTTAGTTAGACTTTGCCGACTACCAGTACAGGGTCATAAACTTACAAGGTCTTGGGGAAGGCGGCCCAACGCGAGATAACGAACTTGGTAGCCTTGATGAAGCGGCCGAATTCCTCATCAAAGGCCTCGTCGAAGGCTTCCCTGACGGTCTGTTCCGATCGGGGCTTGTCCTCTGGGTAGTCCTCGGCCGTGATAGGCTCTGGCTCCGTTGACGTGACCACATTGTGCGGCTTCTTGGCCCTGTCGGGAATCGCAGTGGTGGGTTCGGCGGCAGCAGCCACGGCAAGAGCCTCCTCGGCGTCTACCATGGCCCGGAACTTGCCAATAGCAGCCAAGGAGCTGCTAATACGAGCATAGGTGTTGAAGAGGGCGACGAGCTCAGTGCGCTTCAACACGGGGATATCCTTGCTGTGGTTGTCGAATTCGAAGAGGACCTTCAGAGCGGTGCCGTAGCCGGCAGTCTGGAGCTTGCCCCAGAGACGGCACTTGTCGCAGCCCACACAATCCATGACACGACTGACATTGCGGAATCGGTTGCGGAAGTCCTCCTTCAGGGATGGACCCTCACCATTCTTGAACATGAGGCTCTCGTCGAAGATTTGCGGCACACTAGCCGCACCTTCGGTAACTTCGAGAATCTTTGCTCTGGTGGCAGCGTCCTGGTCCAGATCCCCCGTACAGAAGGTGTAGTCTCTACCCTGCAGATAAGGTCCCAACTTGGCGATCGCACGAGTGACCAAGGCATAATTGAAGTACAGGTTGCTGATCCGCTCAGGGTGGGTGTGGAGGCGTTGCTTGTAGCAGGCCAAGTTGGGTTGCCATTGCCCCGTGGTCTGGTTCAGGAAGTCCCAGCAAAGATGGGTGCTGATGCTTGCGTGCATGCCCGAAACCACGCGGTAGAAAACCCGCTTCTCGATGCACTCGTCTTCAGATTCTAAGCCGGTCTGGGCGACAAACGGGGCGTTGGGCTGTTTCTCGCGCATCTGCTCCAAAAGCTGCTCTCGTCCAGCGGCTTCGAGAACCTGCCTGAAGTCTTGCGCTGCTGGTCCCTTGTTGCTGACTTGTGACTGACCCAGAGAAGCGGAATGGGGGAAGGAGCTCTTTTGGAAGCAGTTCTCCCGGTAGATGGCGTCCCAAACCTGGGCGGCGCCAACTCCCGCGTATCCAGTGAACCGCTCGGGATTGCGGAGGAGGCTCACGTAGTCTCCCTTCGAGGTTGCGCTCTCATCCTCCGGCACGCAGTAGTCACGCTCGTCGCACTCGTCGTCGTATTCCACAACACAGCTTTCGCCAACCCCGTCGCCCAGCTTTCCTTGTAACGGTCGTTCGGGGCGCTCGTGCTGCACCTTTCTCGGGGGGTGTTTCGCCAAGGGTCCTTCCAACTTTCCAAGCTCGCTTGCCCGCCAGACTTCGGGAATATCTTCCTCGTTATCCAGGGTCTCAACGGCACAGGCAATATTGCCGCACATGCCATTCTCGTCGTTCCAGAAGGGGCATTTCTTGTGGAAGAGGTTCAGTCGGTAGTGCGAGAAGAAGTCCGTCGAGCTTGTAAGGTCGTCGACGAAGGGCTTGACCTTGGCGTTCAGCTTGTCGAGGGTAGAGTACGAGGCGCATGCGTCGGACACAATGGCCTTGGGCGAGATCTGGTATGATGCGTTAGAGACGGAGAACCGATAGCGAGATGCCGCTGCGAGGGCACAGGTCGCGAAGAAGAAAAAGAAAACGGCGGCATACCGCACAATCATCTTGGGCGCGTTCGCATTGGACTGGCGACCCCAAGAGCGCGAAAACGGAGAGGAAGAATAGTCTGCTTGCAGACCTCATGTTGAATGGTTCGCCGTGGGCGGGGATGACCGGACCGGACTGTTTAATATGCGACGCAATGACAAGAACAGCTGGTCGCAGGAGAAGAGGTTGTCAACGGAGAATGCGGACGACAAGTTTCCAAAGGTTGGCTGAAACGTCCAGAGTGTCCGGGCTGGATGCGTGGATCCGAGGCAGTCTTATGCCGGTGGCGCCTGCAGCGTGCAAATAAGCCGAACGGGTCAGGCAGCGCCAATGGTAAAGTTGAGTGAGGTTCGTTTTGGCGAAACGGCCCGGGGGCGCTGAAAGCTAGAGATGAAGTGTAAATGGACCAGGTGTGGTTCTCCAGTCTTGTCTCAAGTCTGACATAAAGATGGAGGTGGCATGAGCATGGGCCTGTCACCGCACGATCGACGTTATTCTCTTGGCCAGGAGCTCTTATTTAAAGACGGCCGTGGAACCCTGAAGGATGTTGGAGAAGATGACAGCGTGGATGGCTGTGCAAAGACCACGGACGATAGGGTAAGAGAGAGAAGACCAGACAAGTGGCCAGCAATTAAAACGGGATCGTCGGGGCCTTTTGCAGGTTGCCAGCTTTCCTGTCCTCAGAAGTGAGGAGTCATGTCATTCATTGGATTGGAATCTGTCCTCAATCTAACATCAAAGGCAAAAGCCGTATGCGTAGGTAGCACACCGTACAGCACAGCAGGACCTGCCAAGCGTGGAAGCAACAATAGAACCCACCCTCCAGGCCGATTAATTCGTCGGAGCTGGGCCCTGACTCCCTGAGTGCCGTCAAATATCGTACTACTTTATCTGGCGAGGATTAGCTGATCCTCAAATGCGAGCCCGATCCCAAGTACCTCGGCCGCCTGGGGCCAGCGAAATGATACATCGCTCTCAGGGCTGTCTTACGGGGGCGAAAGGCTAATTTAGGCATTGGTGAAAGGTGTCCTTCTTGGTGGAAAATCAGCAGATGCAGGAGCCAATTGGAACCACTCTGGCGCCAAATGGTTCCTCATGGCTTCCGCCGTTCCAGATCGCCTCTCGGATGCCGCCGCCGCCATCCAACTCGGCTTGGTGCATCCGCAACTTGCCAATTGCAGACCACGGCGCCTCTGTTATACGTCTGGCTACCCGTCGTCCCCTGTAGCCTTGCCCGCTTTGCACATGCCGACATTAGATGCACATAAACTCACTTTTGCGAGCCTCCTCCAGCTTGTACATGTTCGTCATCACGAAGTCAAAGTGACGTCTCACACTCTACAACAGCTCAGAGCAAACGATCAGGACTACCTATGACATGCACCAAAGAGTATGCAATAAAACTGCGGTATTATACCGCATGCACAGCATCCCGTCTGCATGTCTTGCCACATCACACCATGCTTTTGGAACAAAATTCTGCCCAAGCATGACCACTATCGTTGTCTCACGTCACTCTAAGCTTCGTCGCATGTTCGCAAGCTAATAGGATGCTAGTCTCTGTCGGTCTCATGTTCAACTTGATTGAGCTTTTGAAAACTGCATGACCGCATTGAATCCACGCGTCTATGCCTATGTCCCTAAGCTCCGTCTTCATTATCGTCGTTGGCCGAGCTATTCAGGCGATAGCCAACAACGACTATCTATACAACCGGCGCGCCGCTCCTGCTTGCTGCCCAGGGTGCGAGAGGCTGTCGTTGACGCCCGTTCGCAATCTCTGCGTTGGCAAAGTTCAGCGGCATCGGCTTGGAAGAAGACGCGCCAGCCCAGCACGCCGGGCGATAGAACTCCTCCCTCATCAGACAGATCCTCAACTGGATCCCAAGACAACCAACAGACAGCAAGCAGAACAGTCCAACACTAACAAATCCCGATGACTCAAACCGCCCAAATAAATGCAATAGCCGTAATGGTATGCGCCGTCTTTTACACCATTTGTCGTGGCCCCCAAAGACGAGGTATTATTATCTCCCAATTTCTTCTCATGAATCTCTAGAGAAAGCTTCCGTCATCAATGGCCGTCATTCGTGTCGTTGAAAGCGTTGCCCACACAGGAAATCTGCGGAGCGGGAGGCGGGCATGTGTTCCGCGTTTGCAGGGTAACAAGGAATTCGCCTCGCTTCTCGAATCACTGAGGGGGCTGGTAGTTGAGGGGACGCCTATAGCAGCATGTTAGGTAAACACCGCGCGGCCGAAGTCAGGGGAAAGGCGGACGAACTTGAACAGCAAAATATGCGGCTCCGGCTCATGAACCTCGTAATGCTCCCAGCCCAAACTCTGCACATCATGTCAGCCTGTTAGGTTCAGTGCGGGAAAAGTTCGGACTCATACCTGAGTGATACCAAGTGCGCGCCATTCCTCCTCCCAAAGCAGCTTCAACGTTCCGTGGCTGGCATCATGGTAATCTTTGGGGATAGCCTTGAGCATGGCCTTGGGGAGCTGCACATGACGGTACTCGAATTCGCTGTCGGAATACCTAGATGCGGAGGACTGGGTCAGTTCCATGCGGTCCCTGCTGTTGTGCACCAGCACGAAGGCAACGAGAGACTGGAGGTGGTGCATACCGTGCCGAGTAGTGGATGGAGTCGATGAACTCGTCCAATCGACCCCGTTCGGAGTCGGACAGAGGGCGCGGGACCTTGTTGCGACGGCTCATGTCGATATCCATGGCGGCTGCTGTGTCTGTGTCTGCGTGCGTTTGCGTTGCTGTCTGTGGGATGAACGGGTGGCGTCTAGTCTCGGTACCACAAAGGCGAGACAGCCGGCGGGGTAGCTCTCGGTTCGACGACTACGAGAGTTCGAGTGACGGGTGACAGCGAAGGCGACAGCGGCGACGGCGGTCGGGACTGGCGATGCTCGACTCTCGGACGATTGGGGGTCTAAGGACGCGAGCGAGGACTTGGGACCAGCAGTTCTAGGTCAGGCGACCTAAGCCAAGCAGATGCGAGGTCGAGGGTGGTAAACAACAAATGCAGGCGGGGTAGGCAGGAATTGACGCTGAAACAGGCTGTTCCAGCTTCACCGACTGACTCAAATGGGGGAATGAGCTGGGAAGCAACGAGAGACGAGAGAAGGAGGTCGGGGGACGGAGAGCTTGAACCGATCTCGAAAAATATGGCGGAGGAGGTGGCTGGCGCGCAAGAACGAGGGGTTATTATTCAAGAGTGGGAAAAAGATATGGCCTGTAAACAAAAGTCGGATTGGATCACAGTCAATTCAGACCCCAGCACCAGCCGCCGGTCCACCTGTGACCGTCCACCACTCACACACAGTGCGGCTGCCACCAATTTGCCCTTGGGGTCCGAGGCGTTTTTTTTTTCTTTTTCTTCTTCCCTTCGCTCCCCTGCGGCAACTTCCGCTTTGGTTTGGCCCTGCTCAAGTGTACCGAGGCGCTGTATTTTGGATGAGAGTACCTGTGGTGGCTTGCCTAGGACACCAACTCCCAACACTGACCGACAGACTGTGTGCAGTTCGCTGACAGCGGTGTGCCGACCTTTTTTCTTTTTCTTTTTCTTTTTTTTTTTTTTTTTTTTACTTCTCCCCTGCCTCCGTCCTCCTTCCTCCATCGCGCTCGTGAAATTTCAATCTGAGAATCCGCAACGCAACGGCTTGAATCCACCCAACCGGCTGCCAACCGGCACCAGCCTCCTCCAGTGTCCTACTCGTAACAGCGACGGTTCTCTGCCGCACTGCATCCGCACACTCCACTCTCTTTTCACAGCATTTTACGGTCAAGAACCACCACGCCTGCCAAGTTCTGGGTGCCTCGAAAATTGCTGCGCACCTGAGGCACTAACGAGCCTGTCCCTCCATCTGCCAGCTGCCAGACAATCGGCCAGTTCAACGGAGAGTTGTTCATAGGTACCCGTACGGGCAGATCCCCAGCTTGCAGCGCGGACATCTTCATTGCGAAGTATCCTTCAGCCAGCAATCACAGCGAGGGGAAGATACCCGACCACCTTTCGTTCAACTCCAGCGAAAGCTATTGTTTATCAGAGAACTTTTGACCTCGCCAAACCAACGGTTCTCTCCCGAGCCTTCCCACCTAGGGAGCTGCACTAGACTGACTACCTTACATTCATTCACCTCTACCTTGAGCTCTTAGCTTTTCCCTTCCAGCACAAACACGCTAGCCACAGACTGCGCCCGGCGCCCTGCAGCCCTGCTCGCAACCAACCTTGCGACGGCCCACAGCCGACACCTTCCCCGACCTTACCTGCCACCACCTTGCCAACTGATTGATCCCCCGATTTCCAACGACGCGTCTTTCGCAAAGCAGTCGCAGCACCACCATCGCATCGACCTCCACAAGTCGCCATCTTCCATCAGCCATTGCACCCACTGCATAGACGGCATCTATCTGCAACTCGTCTGATAGAGAGCGCATGTCTCCGCGACCACTGTCCACCCATTTTTGATGGATCACAAGCGCAAGTCGTCCGCCGCAAATGGCGCGACCGAAGGTGCTGATGAGCGCGCCGCAAAGCGCCTCAGATTGTCCCAGGTGAGCTTTTGTTCTGCCCCTTCCCCATGCTGTCCTTGGTCACTCGCCTCTTGTTCGCCCAGCTTTGATGGTCTGGATCTGCCCTTGCAGCCTGTCCCCTCCCGTCGCATTATCACAATGACTTGCCTGCAACTTCCGGGGTCAAGTCAGACCAACCAACCTGCACTTGCCATCACCATCTATTTATCCCACAGTACCCCAGTCTGCCTGAGCTCCTAGCATCCACCAGCAGTCTCCATACCCCTCCATAAGGCATTCTACGAGAAGCAAAGGCGAAACAGACAAGCTAATGTCACCAATACGCAGAAATACAATCTCAGCAAGCAAGAGACTGTCGAGTCTACCACCGAACATGGCCTATTCTTCCTGGAACAGATCCGCCAGACCAAAGATAAGAAGTGAGTCTGTCCTTGACGTACTATGAGGCCTCCATGGCATATAAACCCTCTTTGGAGGTGCACAGCCATCTAAACAGTAGACGCTGACAATCAATTCTCCCAGTGGCCGGCTCGTGGCAGGATACTTCGAAAAGCTCCCCTCAAAAGAGAGCACCCCCGAGTACTACAAGAAAACGCGCATGCCGATCTCGCTGTCCATGATCGAACGGAAGCTCAAAAAGGGAGACTTTTCTACCCTGACCGAGCTCGAGAGCTACTTCAAGCGCATGGTGACCAACGCGAAAGAGTTCTATCCTCGCAACACCCAAATCTTCGACGATGCCGAGAGGGTCCGAAAGGCTCTCAGCAACTACATGACCAAGACGAACCCTGCATACAACGGTGGCAACTACAGTGCCGTGCCGACGCCTCTGCCTGCCTCCGGTGTTGTAGACGAAGTTGAGGAGGAAGACGAAGACGACGCGACCCCTGCCAAGACGGGCCGCCGCAAGTCCCAGGGGAATGCGAAGCCTGCGGAGAAGCAGCCCGAGGTTGACGAAGGCGATGAGGACGAAGACGAAGATGCCGAGGAAGATGAAGATGAAGAGGATGAAGAGGAAGACGACGACGCCGAGGGAGAAGAAGATGATGAGGAGGCGAGCCAGTCCTCAAAGCGCGCCGCAATAATCATCCGTCGCAGGGGCCCTGGCAGGCCTCCCAAGGGAGTGACGCCGCGCAAGTCCAAAGGTCGCACTAGCACACCTAGTCGTCCTGACTGCGAGTACGAGGACGTTCCGTACAAGGGTCTCACTTTCCAGGCCGCGCAGGAGAAGATTGTGGAAGAGATGCTGCGCAAGCGAGAAGACGAGTATGTAACACTCTTTCAGGAACCACAATTACATCCGTACTGATTACTTGTGCAATAGGCCCGAGGCGTACTTCGAGCCTTTTGTAAATCTACCTCCCCGTGCCCTCAAGGACTATTATCGGGTCATCAAGGAGCCCATCTCTATCAAAAAGCTCCAGAAATCTGTCAAGGGAGTCAAGGGACGAAATGAAGCCACAGGTACCAGCGAGTTCAAGAACTGGGCTGCGTTTGAGGAGAGCGCTAGCCTCCTTTGGAAGAACGCTTGCTTCTACAATGAAGAGGGAAGTGAGATTTACGAGCTAGCTCAGGAATTGAAGGTAAGATTTTCGGCGGGAAACAACAATCCTTCATGATAGAACTAATATCGGTCAAGGAGTTCTTCCTGGATGAGCTGAAGCAGGCCAAAGGAGTTGTCCCAGAGCCATCGCAGCCAAAGATCAAGTTGAAGGTACAGCAACCTGCGGCCGAGCAGCCTACTACGTCCAAGAAGATTACAATCCATGTGGGAGGCAAAAGCGATTCGGCGGACTCACCGGCACCTCCTGTTCCTCAGTCCGCAGGCTCTCAAGCAAGCGAGCAGATCGCCCCGAATGGCACCACGCGTCAAGCTGCTAACCCTATCATGCCAGCTGCGATGGACAGAATTCGAAGCACTTCGGCGGCTTCGCCCAGCCCTTCAGTTGCTAACACTATCAAGCGAGAAGATGCCATGCGCCCTTCTCCTGCCGGTACGCCCGGTCACGCGAGTACACCGTCGGCTTTTCCACCTCCTGGTCAACCCGCAGGACTGTCCAATGCAACTTTCCAGCCTATCGGTGCTCCGCAGCAACAGTCGCAGCCGAACGGGGTTCAGCAACCTAGCAAGCCTCTCTGGGACCAGAGACTTCGCGCGCCTGGCAAAGGTAGATTACCGTGTTCTCAGTTTTGGCGACGCCATACTAACAGTTTTATAGGCATTGCGGATGCTCTCATCTCTAGCCTCAAGGTCCAGACTCATCCGATGATCAATCATGATCGTCGATTTGAAGTCACCGTCAAACCTCTCGAGAAGGTGTCCCAACAGTCAGTTACGGTTCATATGCCTGCCAATCAGCTGAGGATTCAGATCATCCCGACCTTGCCTGCCCTCTTAGAGAAGGAGGGACGCCAGTACAGACTCTGGGTAATCATCAACCGGCACACACTCACTCCGGTTCATGGAGTTCCAGGTCAAGTGCTTTCAACCGGCGAAAGGGTATTCGAGGCCCAGCTCCAAGCTGGTATTGTCAACACCATCGAGGTCCACGTTGTTGCAGCATTGCCCAAGGGCCAGAAATTGCCGAGTGGTGAAGACTTTGAAGTGGAGCAAATGACGGTGCTTGCCAACGTCGTGAGAAACTAGGAGTCTCCGATCAGCATCAGTGACGCATCCACTTCTGTCGAACTTTTGGGGGAACACTTCGTCGGTTCAGACCATCAGCGCACAGAATCGTGGGGTGATGGCGTTATCCATCGTGACCGTAGCGCTGCTGAACGGGCTGTAGGTTTCCTTGCCCCAACCTTGCAGGCACTTTGGGACAAAGCTGAAGAAAAAAGGGTCCATGGCGATCTCCCGAACCATCTTCTCGATCGGCGCCCCGAGGCATACAACATTAGCGACAACGGTTGTACCCGCTACCCCCCGGTGCACCATTCGAGTCGCGTGCTGTTGCGACCACATCAAACGCGGACGACTTCGCGAATCGTTCAACCCACAGCAGCGGCTCCGGAGATCAAGCCTCGCAAGCGTTTGCCGGATGACAGGCTGGCTTGGTCCTCGCCATGTGAACAGAAGCCGGGTGTGTCGCCCACAGCAGGGTCGAACCTGCCAGACCCGTGGCGTCCGACTCAACCCAAGCCCCAGAGCCAGCCTGAGGTGAAGGAGGAGCGCGAGAGAGGACTTCATAATGGACTATCTTTAAGTCTTGAGGATGCACACTTGGCAACGAGCTACATTCTTTCCATTGGGCCCGATTTACTTATGAAACTGGGCAAGCACGCTGGTCCTAGTTTGCTGATGCGGGCTTGCGTTTTTGATGAGAAAGTGATAAAAGGACTTGTCAAGATAGCAGGACTCGTCAACTATAACAAGAACCAAGCATTTTTCACCGATCAGGCTTCTATCAGAGCAGTAACGATCAAGAGGATATCCATGCTCAGGCAGGCGGACGCTATGGGCGACAGAAAGAAGGGACTGATACACCTCATGGGCAGCGTAGCACTCCTACTCGATGACCAGGACATGTTCAGTAAGGTTCTGCGATATGTTTCCCCAATTTGAGCTGCGTGGTGCTTCAAGTTCGCAGGGCGTTCGCCCATCCACGGAAAGGGGAAACTGGTTTTGGATGGTTGGTATGTTCAACATTCACAGAGAATTCGTCGTTTGGTCTTATATTGCTGTCGTTGTGGGACTATTTCGATATCTGCGGCCCGTTTATCCGCCTTCAGATCTGGGCATGGAAAGGCGTTGCTGCTACTAGGGTATTGCCGCGGTGAGTTGGGACGGACAAATATGTATAGATAGATAATAAGTGTTCCATCACCAGAGTGATTTTTGCATGGGTTGCTTTCTTTCTATTCTCTTCCATCTCCAGGCCAAGTGGTTTCACGCCGGAATCAAGATGAATTTGATGTCACCCGGAGTTCATTGAGGAAGTGTCCGTGAGCAACTCTGCTCAGGGCTTCTTGCCAATCAGGCATTACAAGCAGAAATACTGTCGTTAAGTATTCTAGGAGCAGAAATATGGCTGGTATATTGAACGTGATGCGAAGCTGTCCCTCCACAGGAGCCAGGATGTCGTACAGCTGCGCACGCTTTGCGCAAAGAACTTCGTATTGGAGTCATACATTGCATGACGTCGTCTGGGGATCCGTAATTCAGCTGTGGATCCTAGTGGGAAAATTGGAGCAGCGTTTACCCCAGCAACCGGCATGCAAGCAGTGTCTTGGAGGACGTCGGTAATGCGGCCGGGATGCCGTCGGACCCTCCGACGTAGCAGCATTCGTTGTGCGACGGGGGGTTCGGGGGTCGGTGGGCTCTTCCCGCCCAGAAGGACAGCACCTGGCGTCACGTTGTCTTGTCTCAGATGCAGCCTCTTGCGTATCTGTAGTTGATGAGCACGAGGGCAAACGCTCGTTGTTCTCGACGTCTGCGAAAGACATTGGGCTGGGCGTTAAAATAGGCGCGGCAGGTTGCATCACTAGCAGCAGCCGGGCCGGCGGTAGTTGATCTGATGTCTAATCTGTGCAAGCTGGTTGGCACACAGGCATGCGGTTCAATAGGTAAGGTAGGTGACAAGAGAGTCTACGCTGAACTTTGTGCATTCGATTTCTCGTGGCCGACTCCAATTGACTCCGATATCGTCTGAAGTTGATCAAAGGTAAAACACCAGAAGAATCCAACTGGTTGGAACCACAAGGCCGGGTCAGCTCGTTGAAAGAAAGCTCAGCCAGCTTCTGCTGGTGTTCCCTCCACAGCGGGTAGGATGAGTCAATTGACCAATGTCGGAATCGAGCTTCCGTGCGGCATGCAACGCCCCCGTTGCCGTGTTCTCTCCGGTGCTGCACAATGTGAAAGGCGCGCCTCTAGGAGACCCTCCTGCTGCAAGAACCCTGTTACCAGTGGCAGGCGAGGTCTTCTGGGCGGTCAAATCATCCAATATTATGGGTCGCCAGCCGTCGGGAGACTGACGATTGAAGGAAAGGCGGTGTCTGTCTCCAGCACCACCAGAAAGGCTGCAGGACCAAGCCGACTGCACTGAGTGACCACCAAACACCTCGCTGCAGCAAGGTGGCACAGTGGACACGGGCCAGAATCCGGGCAAGCTGCAGCATGTGGCATTACCATTTCGAGGGCTAGCGCGGAAGCAATGTGGGAGATCGATCTTCCGATAACGGGGGGTTGATTGGCCGGCGCTCAGGGTGGATACCATCACAGCCAATAGGAGGCTCCTAAAGCAGCCCACTTCAGGTGGCATCTAGCGGGGTACAGGCAGGACCGACGTAAGGACCGGCCCTGAAATTTGTTAACTCGAGAGTCAATGGCACGGCGCTGCAGCGTGGTCGGGGGTGTAGGTATTTGTCTGAAGCGGGGCCAAAGAGTGGAAAAAATTCTTTTTTTCGTCAATTGACTGGTCGACCAAGGTTGGCAGCGAACGCCGTACTCGGTCATCACTGGCCATCCCGCCCAATCCACTCCTTGTAGCGTCCGCCTCGCCTCAGTCGGCCTGCTTCTGGCTTCCCAGCATAATTTTTTTCCTTTACATACAAAGGCTGCCTCTGCCACTCTCTCCCCGGTTACGTCTCTTCTCCTGTGACTCAACCAGCTTTACCCCAAAATCTTGTATAAATATCGTCACCATCCAGACTCTGGAAATCCCGCCTTCCATCGATTCGATCCATCAACCCCGAACCTCGACCGCCGCTGTATGAACATACAAAATGTGCCCTACTCCTGATGTCCCGGCCACCAACGGCCAGTCCAATGGCACCAATGGCCACACGAACGGCTCCAATGGCGCTGCCAACGGCAACAACGCTGGTGCGTAATACATGATCGTTGCGCGACAACTTTTCGACCGTGACTGACTCTTCTCGCGTCCAGACCACCCTGGCTACACTGCCATTCCCGTAAGGACACCCAAACTGGTTTCCCACCGTGACGCCCTGTTCTGACTCCGATCGCGCAGACCAAGCAGAAGCACAGCAACCCTTACCAGCCGGTAGGAGACTTCCTCAGCAACGTCGACCGTTACAAGATTAGTATGTTCTGCCGTGCTCTGGGCCCTGCACTCAAAAGCAGCCACTGACTGGAGGCGCAACAGTCGAGTCCACTCTGAGAGAGGGCGAGCAGTTCGCCAACGCCTTCTTCGACACCGAGACCAAGATCAAGATTGCCAAGGCTCTCGATGACTTCGGTGTCGACTACATCGAGCTGACCTCCCCCGCCGCTTCTGAGCAGTCCCGCAAGGATTGCGAGGCCATCTGCAAGCTCGGCCTCAAGGCCAAGATTCTGACTCACGTCCGCTGTCACGTAAGAAGTCTCGCCATCTTGCGAGCAAGACTCCGACGCTAATCAGTAAACAGATGGACGATGCCCGTCTGGCCGTCGAGACCGGTGTCGATGGTGTTGATGTCGTCATTGGCACCTCTTCCTACCTGCGCGAGCACTCTCACGGCAAGGACATGACCTACATCATTAACGTGGGTCTAACTTCAATCCCGAGTCGCGTAATGATTTACTGATAGTTTCTATGATCAGACTGCCATTGAGGTTATCCAATTCGTCAAGTCCAAGGGTCTCGAGATCCGTTTCTCCTCGGAGGACTCCTTCCGCTCCGACCTCGTCGATCTGCTTTCCGTCTACAGCGCTGTCGACAAGGTCGGCGTCCACAGAGTCGGTATCGCCGACACCGTCGGTTGCGCCAGCCCTAGACAGGTCTACGACCTCGTCCGCACGCTCAGAGGTGTTGTTAGCTGTGACATCGAGACTCACGTAAGTCGCTTCTGAGTGCAAAGCTTTCACAAAGACCCGGCCATGCTGACGCGCGAGATTTAGTTCCACAACGACACCGGATGCGCCATTGCCAACGCCTACTGCGCTCTTGAGGCTGGTGCCACCCACAGTGAGTCGCTTTCCGTAGCCAGTGCTTGGTAAACTACTTGCTAATTGCCTGTCGCAGTTGACACCTCCGTCATCGGTATCGGTGAGCGCAACGGTATCACCCCCCTGGGTGGTCTGATGGCTCGCATGATCGTCGCCGCCCCCGAGTACACCAAGTCCAAGTACAAGCTCCACAAGCTCAAGGAGCTTGAGGACCTGGTCGCCGAGTCTGTCGAGATCAACATTCCCTTCAACAACTACATCACTGGCTTCTGCGCCTTCACCCACAAGGCTGGTATCCACGCCAAGGCCATTCTCAACAACCCCAGCACATATGGTACGTGGTCCCGCTACAGTGTTTCGCCAGTGACGAAAGCTAATTCGGAGCAGAAATCATCAACCCTGCCGATTTCGGTATGAGCAGATATGTCCACTTCGCCTCGAGATTGACTGGATGGAACGCGATCAAGAGCCGTGTCGAGCAGCTTGGCCTCACCATGACCGATGCGCAGGTCAAGGTCGTTACTCAGAAGATTAAGGCCCTGGCAGATGTCAGGCCGATCGCCATTGATGACGCTGACTCAATTATTCGTACATTCCACCTGAACCTCAACTCTGACGAGGAGAAGCCCCTTCTGCCGAACTTGACTGCCGAGGAGCAGGCCAAGTTCGAGCAGGCGGAAAGAGAGCTTGCTGGCGAGCCGGAGAAGCGTGCGTTGGATGATGCTGCAGCGGAGCCCGCTGCCAAGAAGGTTAAGGCGTAAATATTGTTTTCGGGATGCATACGGGACTTCAAAAAAGGGGGCATCTACTTGTAAAATCATAGAGGGGAGAGCTACAAAAGTGTTTAGTTCAGATACCTCATATCAACGACGAAATGGAACGTTCTTACTACGTAACTTTGACGCAGACTCCGATGTCGCCGTTGCTACAATTTTCCCCAGGAACTAGTAGAGCGCTTGCCTCAAGCTTCACCAAGCGCAGACATTCAGGCCACGTAGCTTAAAATGACAATTGCTATCCATCCCTTAGGCTCACCGCTCTTGGTCACAATAAAATCAATGGTCATCACGTCGCGTGCCCGTTGTCCAGGTAAAGCTCCAAAAAGTTACAGACCGGGGTCCAATTGGTGGGGCTTGGCCAAGGAGCTAAGATAAGATAAGCAGCGGCAGAATGCAAAAAAAAAACCTAAGTCACTGACCACTGGATGTCTAACCGCCCGCGCTGAAGCCCTTCTCTGAACCGCCAACGTCCAAAACTTCACCTGGAGAATGCGCATCCCTCCCATGCCTTCATGACACAATAGAAGCCGACCGAAATATCTCTCTTGAACGTCGACTTCAAATTTGACCGATCGTAATACCGGTCGCGATCGCACCATACACACAAACTCCAAGATGGATGCGCACGCCCTGCTCTCGCGGCAAGGGTGGCGCGGCAAAGGGCACTCGCTCCACGCAACGGACGACGCAATCGGCCTCGCGAAACCGCTGCTCCTCAATCGCAAAGACAACACCAAGGGCCTCGGCCAAAAAGCGCATTTCACGAGCGACACGTGGTGGATGAATGCGTTCGACGAGCAGCTCCAGGGCCTGGACACGTCGAAGAAGGGGCAGGTCACGCAGACCGTCACGCAGGGACGGCTGAACCAGATCGAGAAGGTTTCAGGCGGAAAATGG